AAATAAACAAGATATCCTCTCCATTTAAGACACTCTTAGGTATCAGTTACTTTCTTTTTATTTTTCCTTTAATTTTCTTTTATTTTGTCAATGAACAATGTGGTCGATTATTGTGGCCCATTACCGAAACCTCCCTCCTTCCTCCCTCTCCCCGCTCTCTCCTAACAACCTCATATCTGTTCGCATGTCATATCAACTTCAAGGAAGTGTAACTGTTGTGTCTTCTTCCTTCCCCCCTCCAGTTTATTTGTGTTCCCAGGCCTACTTCCTGAAGTGTTTCTCCTATGTTTTCTTTAAGAAGTTTTATTGTTTCAGGGTGTATATTTAATTCTTTAATCAATTTTGAGTTGATTTTAGTATATGGTGAGAGGTATGGGTCTACTTTCATTCTCCTGCATATGGATATCCAGTTATCCCAGCACCATTTGCTGAAGAGACAGTCTCTTCCCCAGTGTATAGGTTTGGTGCCTTTGTCAAAGATCAGATAGCTGTAAAAGAATGCATTATTTTAAAATAATTTAGGATATTTATTCTTTAGTCTAACAGTGAAGGCTTTTATAATTTACCTATTTTCTCTATGCACTTACTACCAACAAACCACTACCCCACCATAAAAAAGTCAAGCTAATCATGCACTTATATGATAAGAAATCATTTGCAGATTGAACTGAAATTCTTTTGATAAACCATGATCTTTGTCATTTGTGTTGTCAATCACAGGTTGACTATATGACTAGAGGTAAAACATGCTCATGAGCAATTCGGGTGACACTAATGAAACAGAAAGCCATTATTCTAGCCTCCAAAAGATTTACATCTTGATTACACAGCAGTGTAATGAGCCATCAAGATGTAAGGATTGGTCCCCAGTAACAAGGATGTCCCTGAGAGGCATCTGATGCAGTAATCAGTGGCAGGCTTCAATGTGATAGTTTTGAGGTGAGAGGGTGCTCTTTCAGATGGCTTGACCTAGCTTCAATCCTATCACGTGGTTTCCTTCACATCTCCTGTAAGAGGTCATCCATGCCTCACACATTATTCTCTTTCCCTCTCTATTTTCTTTTTTCCCATGTGCCACTCCTGTGTTTTCATCTTTTCTTAAGCTTAACTGCCTTTTCATCATCTTCTTTCCTCATCATATGTTAAGCATTAA